AAATATGAATCTCGTTTCAATTTTCTGTAAGTGGAGTTCCAGTTTTGCCAGCATCACTTCTCCATTTAATGCATGCTGGTCCTTTGTGGAAGATCAGCTGAACACAGATAGATGGGTTCTTTTGGATTCTCAATCCTTCCGTTGGTCTGTGTGTCTTTTGTTGGCTCAGTACCAGGTTGTTTTGAGTACTGGGGCTGTGTAGTATTGAGAGATGGGAGAGAGACACCTCCTAGTTAGTTTTCATTTTTTAAAATAATGTTTTGCTTATCCAGGGTCTCTTTCCTTTCCATATAAAGTTAGTGATTAGTTTTCGTCTCTTTAAAGAATGATGTTGGAATATGGATTGGGACTGAATTATACCTGCACATTGCTTCACAAGTATTGACATTTTCACATTAAGTCGTCTATCCATGAGCATGGTATTTGTTGTTGGTTTTGTTAAGTGCCATTTATGCAGGTCTTGTTTGGTTTCCTGTAATAACGTTTTGTAGTTTTCTTTGTTGATCTTTTGTTTCTCTGGTTAGATTTATTCCCAAATATTTCATCATTTAAGTGGCTATTGGAAATGGTCTTGTTTTTCTGATTTCCTTTATCTTGTTATTGTTAGGTGCTGTTATGTTGGTTACACCTCTTATTGACCTTGTATAGGGTTTCCAGGGAGTGGCTGGTGGGTTTGAACTGCCAAATTTGTTGATAGCAGTCCAGTACTTATCCTACAGCTCCACACCAAGATTTCTTTTTAGAGCTCTCTCTTTATTAGTGTAAAGGAATCCAACTAATTTTTTTAAAAAACATTTTTATTGTGAGTTGAGTGAAAGTTTGCAGAGCATATCATCAGTTTTACATGCATTAAATCATATACTTTCCTTCGTTACAATGATTGCAATCCCTCCACATACCAACAGTTAACAGTATTTACTTCTATTCGTTTAACTACTGTAGTCCTCCCTGTGTCTCCTGTTACTGTCATCTTTCCTCTGAGCCTCCTTCTTGTTGTTTATTGCCTGTCCTGTCACCCATATTAGCAGATGTCTGCCCTCTAGCCCCAAATCCTGGTGTGGTGCTGTGGGTTAATGCTCTAAAATGCAAAGTCAGTCTGATCCACAAGGTCGATGGTTCAAACTCACCAGCCACTCCTTGGAAACCCTATACAGGGTTGCTATGTGTTGGAACCAACTCAATGGCACTTTTAACAACAACAACAGCAACCCTCTAGGCCAGAGTCATGGTGTGGTGCTGCAGAATAATGTGCTGGACTGCAAGGTCAGTTTGAACCCCAAGGTTGGAGGTTCAAACCCACCAAGTGATCTTTGGATCTTTGGAAATCCTATACAGGGTCACGGTGGGTCAGAATTGGCTCCATGGCACTTAACAATAACAACTTTCTAGCCCATGAATAATTTTTCCTTCCCCCACACGTCTGGTAACTTTCATAAAATGTTTCTTTTATCAAGAAAGCCTTTTCTTAACTTTTTACATCATCAGTCTCATACAATATTTGTCCTTTTGTGGTTGACTAATTTCACTTACCATAATGTTCTCCAGGTTCAGACATGTTGTGAGGTGTTTCACAGATTCATCATTATTCTTCAATATTTTATAGTATTCCATCGTGTGTGTACCAGTTTGCTTAACCATTCTTCTGTTAATGGGTACTTACGTAGTCTCCATCTTTTTGATATGTCTCTTACAGTCAGCATATTGAAGGATCCTGTTTTCTTATCCATTTGGCTCTCTCTGTCTCTTGGCTGGTGCATTTAACCCATTTATATTCAGTATAATTATTGATAAATATTAATTGATTGCTGTCATTTTGCTATGTGTTTTTTGTGTGGTGTTCTTTGTTTCACATAGTTTTCTGCATTGAGTTGATGTTCTTAGTGGATTTTATTTTCATTTGTTTTGTTAATGTTTACTGACTCTAATTTTACCCTTTATTTATTATGTGCAGGTATATTAATTTTCTTTGAGGTTGTCTTATAATTTATTAAAATTTCCCCTTTTAATATAGTCTATTTTATCTTGAAAGCTACCTTACTTCCTTGCTATTTGGGAGTTCTGTATCTACACTATTCCCTTTTTTTGCTTTGTAGTTGACTTCATTATGCTTGGCTATCTCTGGTTTCCTATTTTCAGTCTTTTAGGTTTGTTTTAGTTTAAATGCTTCTATGTCAGAATAGAGTTCTGAGTGGTGTTGTCATGTGTAGTAATCTCCGATTGCTCTCTGCTGCTGTTGGTTCTCAGTCCAAAGAACACACTAGAGTATTTTTTTTTGTAAGGTTGATTTGGTCATTCCTTTAATTTCTGTTTATCTGGAAATGTCCTAATCTCACTATGGATAGCTTTGCTGCGTATATGATTCTTGGTTGGCAATTTTTTTTTTTTTTCTTTCACAGTTTTGTTTATGCCATCCCTTTGCCTTCTTGCCTGAATGGTATCTGCTGAGAAATTAGAGGTTAGTCTTATTGGCTTCTCTTTTGTAGGTAACTTTTTTTATAACCTGAGCCATTCTCAAGATTCTTTCCTGGCCTTTGATTTTGGAAAGTTTGATTATGATATGTCTTGGCAATTTTCTTTTGGCATCTATCCTGTTTGAGGGTATTTTAGCTTCTTATATACTTGTCTTCTCATCTTTCATGTTGTTAGGGAAGTTTTTTTCCAACAACTCTTTGACAATTTTCTCTGTACTTTTTTTTGTGTGTGTCTTCCTGTTCTGGAATTCCAATTAACTGTAAGTTGTTCCTTTTCATGGTGTCCCACATAATCCTTAGGCTCACTAATTTGGGCTTCCATTGTTTCAAATCTACTTCTTTGTCCTTTCAATGTATTACCCATTACTGAAATTTGAGCATTAATCTTCTGGATTTTTAAATGCAGGTTTTGTATTGTTTCAAAATATGCATTTATTTGGTCTATTTGTTCTTGTAATGTTTTCCTGAATTCTTCTAAAGTTTTCTTGTTTGTTTGTTTTCACTATGTTCTTGCTTTCCTGTATCTTTCTGTCAATCCATTGACGATACTTAAATATTCCTTTGAATTCATTCTCACTTTACTCTACTACCTGTTGTTTTTTTCTCAGAAATGTTTTCTGGCTCTGTATCTTGGTTATTTGTTTGAGCCATTCTCTCTTATTTCTTCATGTGAGGTAAAATTGTCCATTGTCTCTGTGGCATTGCAGGGTTGTGGTATTTGTATTTAACTGATGATTGTATATTGATGTGTTCTTAGCCTAAAACCAAATGTCTCCTGTGGGTGTAGAGAATGGAAGCATGTACACCGTTCTCTTTCACCGTTCGTGTGCCTCTTTTAGGGTGGGTTTAGCTGCTGTTGATTGCTGTCTATTGTTGGTTGGGTGGTCTAAGAGTTGACCCTGTAGTTGGAGCTAAAGAGGGTACAGTTGTGTCTGGGTTATATGTGCAAGGTTGCTGTTTTCCACTGGATGGGAAACACATATAGAAAGACTACAAAATAGAATAAACAGAGAGCCAACAATGAAAAGAGAATATAGTCAAGAGAAAAAAGAAACTAAAACAGACAGCAACCAGAAAAGGAGTATATAATAACTATGAAGACAAATGAGGGACAGGGAAATGGTCCAGACTTCAGCAGCAGCAGCAGCAGCACCTGTGAATTTCTTGGAAATCTAGCATCTTGATCCCATCCATGACCAACCAATCTAAAATCTGCATTTTCACAAGATTGTTCCCAGTGGAAGCACTGGTGCATAGAGTTGTTCCAAAGGGAAAGCCTTCTCTTATACGATGGCTAGCCATCTACCAAATCCACCTTCTCCTTCTATACCAGGGGTGGGGAACTTCCGGCCCATGGGCCACATAAGGCCTGCAAAACGATCTGGTCTAGCCCTGCCAAAATATCTGCTGTTCCAGCCATCACATTGTTGTTGTTGTTGAGTTAATTAAATGTTTTAACAAATACAGGAGGCTAATTTTTAAATTGATAATTTTGTAAGGCCCACAAATAAATATCCAAATATATTTAATATCATATATAAATATCCAAATGGCCCTTGGCAGAAAACAGGTTCCCCATACCTGCTGCATACTAATAAATCCCTCATTTTTACTTGGTCACATGGCCACTCTGAAGAGAAACTGTATTTCCCAGCCTTCTTTGCAGTTTGGTATGACCATGTGACTAAACTCATCCCAGGAAAATATGACTAGAAGTGAAGAAAACTGTTTCTGCATTGTACCCCTGAAGAGAATACACCTCTGTCTCTGGTTGTTTCCTGCTGTTTGCTGAATGAAAAATGTCAACAACAAAATGTCAGCCACCTTGTACTCAGAGTTGGTACAAGCCACAGCAAGGATGCCTCAGCCTCCTAGATCTCGACAGATAGAAAGCTAACATGCTGTCCAAGCCACAGTATGTTGGTTCTTTTTATGTCAGCAGCTTAGCCTAGTTCCTAAATGACTCAGACATATCCTTTACATATCTTCCAAGGAGCAAGAGAAAAAGTATGAAATAACAGCTATTAAAATTTTAAACTGTAAAATTTTTAATTAAATTGTAAATTTCAGTGGCAATGTTTCCATTGACTGTAACTACAACAAAGAAGAGATGATGCCCTTTAAACAGTTTCCATAGATTCCTCCAAGGGCTGGAGTAGTGGATAAATTAAAAGAGGATTCTTGAGGGGAAAAGCTATCAAACAGCACCTCAAGTTTTACAATCTCACCAAACATCCAGACGACTGTGGAAAAGACATTGCTCCCACCTTGTAAATGAACACCTAACACAGTAAGAATCTTCACAACGGGACATGCACCAGCCCTTCACAAGTAAGGTTTTCCCTCCTTTCCTTCCTCTCTGTTGTAGGGAGGCTGTGAGGCCAGGGAGGAAGGCAGGATAAGAACAGCTCAGAATAGAAACTACAACATCTTCCCGGTGTTTTATTTTTACTTTTTGTCTGGATACTCACAGGGTGGAGCAGTGGGGGGTGGGGTTCCCGCAGAGCCCTTGGTGGTGGGTTCAACTTCCTACTGATAAAATGGCATCAAGGGTCCCCATCGGTACAAGATAGGGACCTTGGGCATGTGGTGATGAGGACAAGAACAGCCAGGCAATAGGAGGTAGCCTTTGTCTTCTTCTGCAGCAGGTTGGTGCTCAGACTCCAAGAGGCATGGTAAGTCAGCACTCTGGTGAACCAGGTCAGGATGGTCCTGGGTCAGGTGCAGAACTTGGGAAGTCGGGTACTTGGCATGGCAGCTACTGGTGAACTTGTTCTGGTCCTCTGCCGTGGCTGCACCATCTGGTGGCGGAAAGAAGCCGGGTTGCCCCAAGTCTTTGGCAGTCATGTGACGTCTTTTGAAGGCTGGGTATCCATCCACCAGTTTGGGGTTGGGGCTGGGGATGACCCTGTAAAACTCTTTGGCCCGGAGTTGAGCATCAAGCTTCACCTGCTGTGGAACCAAATCAGGAATGAGTGGAGAGCTGAATGAGAAGAAAAACAAATGTGGCTTCCCTTGAAAGTTTCTAAGGCA